TCCTTATAGATCACTTTAGGATTTGTAATAGCTAACTGCTACTACGTTTAAATTCGTATATGAGTACGGGACTTTGTTACTTGGAGACAGCTAATAGATCATCAGCCATGACTTTAAAGTACTGAGAATAACTAGTACATTCGGTTCTTAAGCTGTCCTATCATCATCAGCCTATACCTACTGCATGCCTACACATCTTTACGTTATATAATCCACTACACGACTTTATTTTATTCGCATCCATTGGCCCCACACAAGTCGTGTACGGATGCTTTTCGAGCAGATTTTTTAATATTAAAATTTACAACCCTATTTTAATTTTATATTCGTATCCGTACTGAAACCAATTCAGCCATAAACGAAGACACATGTTACCTTTCTGGTATTATTAAGTGTTCACATGCACCTTAAGATCATATGATGCGGTTCTTACAAGATTGTTAACGTTAACAGTTTAATTTGTTAAGTTCGACTAAATATGGACCGCATTAACTGACATATTCACATATTATTTAATGAAGAATTCTAGAACATTGATGAGATTGATAGTTTTAATTAGCTACGATAATGATATCAACATTAATTCATAAAGTGTATAGGGGGTTGTTGAAATGCGATATCATAGAATATAGTAGGTTGATTTCTTGCTAAAATGAAGGAAATTGTTATTGTATGAATAATTGAAAGATTAATTTAAATACTATTTATTGTTAAGAGAATCATAGTTTTAAGTAACTTGTGTCTTAGTGCAACAAAAACCTGCTATAACCCTAGATATAAAGTTAAAGCCATAGCTACTATTTATATCATGAAAAGACCTCAGTTATATAGAAGAATAGCTTACAAAAACAAGTTCTTCATTATCTTACTTTTTCCATTTCTCTTGCCTAGAATAATATTTTGGGTCACAGTATTAGACATAGAGTAACATTTACATTATCAAAATATACTATTAGCAGTTTCTGCTAAGTTTAGCGATAATAAGCTACATCATCAATTGCATATAGATTTTCTAAGTACATAAATGGCTTCTGTTAGGACATACCTCTACATAAGTATATTTCAGTTGCTAAATGATAAGATTCTGTATTTACGATACTAACAGCATTGTAACATGTTGATAATGGAAATTGTAAATATTATTATTTATTGATGAGTGGGTCATAATAGCAAATATTGTCTAAGTCTGGTCTTATGGCCCAGGCAACAGATTATTTTGTGGTAAAATAGCGGCTAATTTAACGTTTACGTACAAAATACGTCAAATATGACGTTCAATTGGCCATGTTGAAGTCAAACAGAGATTAATTTATTACTTACATAGACAGTAATCGCGATAGATTTATGGAACTGAAGTTGATGCGCTTTTAGATTTATAATGTAATGTACATAGAGCGATATTACTAAAGCTCGTATGAGCTATACTTGTAAAATCGGGCGTATCGCCAAACGATAGCGTGAATACTGAATCAAGACAGCGGCGAAGATTGCTTGTCTGCCTCAATGATGGATTAATGCTATGGATGCGAGAGGTCTTTGATACTGTATCGTCGAGTCCTAAGAATTATAATCAAACTCTGGTTTAAAGTGACCTTTAACGGTATACAGTATGTACAGTACATTGTATAGTAATTAAGGTTGTTGGTTTACCAAAGAGCTTTTTCTTTCTTTTACTTCTACGATTTTACACCCACCACAAGCGAATTACTCTATGTTTGCATGTATAAGACTATCACAGGAACCACTTCACTACGGTACGCTTAAGGCGAAGTTAAATAAAATTAATACCTAGTTGAAAATACCATGGATATTTTCAAACTTTTATCAATGATACTGAACGCTCCATTGCACATGGGTATTCAAGTTTCTGCAACATTAAACATTACATTCTCAATGGATTTAAAAAGATAGTAAAAGCAAAATATTCAATGCTATGGTTAACGCAGGCCAATGTTATTCGGGATATCTGTTGATACGGTGCTATCCATTGAGTTAGCGACGTTATGAGCAAAACTGATTTTAAGTCAAGGAGGATAAATTACTTGTAAGCATAACACTCGCTTCGCAGCTTGACTAGTATAATCAGTACTAATATTTCCCCTACTACAGAACGGTCACTCATCATTAAATTATTTTCTAAAGTTAGTTGGTAAAAATAGTTTACTACTTAATTTTACTGTTGAATATTACAGTAGTAAAACCTAGACAACGTAATCGCTACAGGTATTGTCTCTAAATTATCCATTAGTAACATTCGACTTCAGTATCCTAACGCCTAAATGTAATATCCTTGACACCACTAGTCCCCTCCGGCTAGCGCTGCCATCTTACTTATTATGCATATACTACGGGTATTATGATTGTGGTCTTTTCTATTTTTTTACCACTGGCAAAATGAACGAAAATACAGTAAAAACAGTTGTGTAAGGCTGGAGCTGTAATGATTCCAATGAAGCACAAACCGTAGCGGAATTCATGGTATTTGATGAAGGATTCTTTTAACGATTAGAATGAGTAGCGTTTTTGAATTTCACTGTCAATAAAAATACTTCTGTACATCAAGATTGAAGTATACAATGAATTTTATCAATTATTCCAACCATAATTTAGTATTTGCTTGTGATGTTTTGTTTAATGAGCGATTTTATTCTACAACACTGCATTTGAACACCTAGTCTTTTAAAATATTGCATGCTGTACACGTACGTTTGAAAATCCGTTAGTCTATTCCATAGCATCATGGTAAAAATACGACTACGCAGCTTTAAGGTTCATCCATTTTACTGAGCTTATATAGTATAAATTTTCTGTTTCACTTATGTAATTATCGACGTTTGATACCGCCACTCCTTAGAGCGCTTTCTGCTTCAAGATATAGATTTTTATTTTAATTAATGTACAATTGCGCTTATTAACCTAAGGGGTTAAATTATAAATTATGGTTATCAATTCTGTCTGTAAAATTTTGCCGCAACAATTAAAAGAGTTCACCGAAACTATACCATACTAGAACTTGAGCACTAAAGTGAACCTCGTTAAGAATACTGAATCAATTACGAATTTCTATTTGGTAGCCTACTACTGCTTGCAGTTTTAGTCTGATTCTTTTCAAGCTTATTACACATATTTTCATCGTTCTGACATTGTAATGCAGGGACTTCTCTTTTAGAAATCCTTCTCTAATGTCATGAGCCTAAAAGTAGGAATCTGTCCATACTAATGCCACATGGGAAAATGAAAAAATTGAACAATTTTCCACGTCATTTCGAAGTTTTTATGATTCTCTATTTTCTCTTCCAAGTCTCTGGTAAAGTATACGTTATCTACTCATATTCTAGCACAACGCAACTCTACCGGAGTCCGGACGGCAGTAACTGTACCAAGGGCTACTAAGACTAAGTTTAAGTCTTGAAAGTCCCTCAACTGTACAGTGTATAGTAAATCCCGCCAGTTAATGAAAATTTGTTAGAATACTTGGCTGAAATTGTCATACCTTATTACTGTATACCATACTGAATATCACTAAATACTTTTTATATCAAAAATTTCGAAATTAACCCCATTGTAGGATAGCACAAATCGAAAAAAATGTCAACGTTTACACAAGGATAGTCTTTGGACTGTGGACTTAGTGTGTAGTGAAGCCCCAACTAAGCTTAAGGCTAAGATAATGTTATGTAATAAAGTGAAGTTTACAAGAAAGTGTAGTTCTTGTTGTATTTTAAAGAAGACACTTTATCACAGACTGATACCAAATTTGTCTAATTCGGTCTTCAAATTGTGTTTTCATATCATTTCAATCGTCGAGAATTCTTTATGAGCCACACAGAGCATGTTTATTTTTCTCTTTCGATAAAGGAAAAGGGAAAAACTAGGACTTCAACCAAGGTAAAAATGCCATACTTACACCAGTATTGAACTACTGTCTATGCCAGAATAGTTAAGGCATACAGCAATAATTTCGATATACATTGCCATCTAAAAATCTGGGAGAAGTAGTAAACATATTCCATATTTTAAGTATTTCGAGAACTTTTCCTGAATAGTAACCTACTGTACCCATCAACGCGATCTTTTTCCTTTTCAATTCTTGAATATAAAGTTCAACACTTTAATATTCACCAATGTAGCATCAGAGCTTACTATTTCCACACACAGTACTGTATAAAAAATGGACCGGATTCCGTCCAAAAATGTCCGCATAGGATACTGTACTGTACAGTGTACAGTACATGCGTATGTGTAGAGTACAGTATGAGCTGATTGATCGGTTTGGAAAAGGAGCATGCAGTACTGGAAGAGAGCGCGGCACGGCACGGTACGATATGGTACGGTACGATATGGTACGGTACGGTACAGTACCGTTTATGTCGGTGTCCAACTGTGCCTTGATGGAGTAACTCTATAGCGCATACTAACGTTACTGCTAGCGTAGTCTATTGTATCTATGACTGGTATGAGACAGTAGCTTTCCTGCTCATGTCAACTGGACGACGGCAGTGACAGTGGATGCAATTGGCAACGTTGTAGTTCTTGGCCTTCTTTCGACGTCCATTTCTCGACTTTTCCAGCCTATTGCAAGCATTGACTTTCTATTCAATCTTCCTTCTATATCCACTGATACATACATACATACTATTAAACCACTTTATAGATCATACCTCAGCTTACAACTGTAGAAATTTTCGACTCTGATAGCCTGGTCAAGTTGGTGTTGTAGAGGCTTCAATTAGAACCCGGATTCATCGCTTGTCCACGTCTACCTACGGGGATACGCCACTACTACGTACAGGATACCAATTAATTAATCAATCATACCTCAGCTTACAACTGGTGAAATTTTTACCTCTGATAGCCTACTCAGGTGGATATTTTACAGGTTTCTTACAATCGATCATATTGTCTGCTCTGTATCGATATACTGCATTGTCTATCCGCTTGAATTGAACTCATCGTCAGTTTCAATTGATCGACTTGACATTGATATTTTAAAGGCAATCATGTCGTCTTGGGAACAACGGGCTGTTGAAGCTGAAAAAAAAGGCGATGCTGCCGCGGAAGAGAAGAAACCTATAGAAGCAGCTTTGCATTATACCGAAGCAATCAAGATACAGCCGGCTGTATATCATTTGTATTTAAAGAGATCCAAAGTATTTTTACAAATGGAGCATCATTCTTTAGCACTTCAAGATGCTATATTATATATACAAAGATCGCGAAATAAGCCTGATGGGTATATTATGAAAGCTGAGATAGAACATAGCGCTCAACATTACAAAAACGCTGTGATCAGCTACCGCCTTGCAGCTGAAAAGACTAAAGATGCAAGGGGCAAAAAGGTAACATTCTTATTACCAATGCAAAATAATGACATCATGATACTCCAAGTACAAGGCAATGATCTGTATCTGTAAATGACGAATAGATTTGTACTGGATCTTGCTGCTGTAATATTAAGGAGTAATATATATCATTTTTGAATAACAATGATATTATAAACTCGCCTTGTATATTTTTGTTACGGTGATAGAAAATTGAAGAATGCTTGAAACAATCATTGGATACCTTGCAAGAGCAACGTCGCAAGGAAGGCAGAAGACCCTTGTTTTGCTTAGCTGTATCTTTAGTTTTAGCTATAATAATTGTAATAATAGACAGTCGAATATTACAAAAGCCGTTGCTTCGAGATAACCTAATCGCTCAGGGCAGTGTGATATTCATTATTTCCGCCTTTGGCTATGGCATTGGTAAATTAACCAATTGGGTAATAGAATCCGATCGAAATAGTTTACTGGAGGCACCCATTGACTTACTCGATTTAGGAAATAACACTTCGGAAACATCTCGCGATAAACAGAGAAATCAGACATCTGACAAAAAATCAACTCCATCTCATACTAAATCTGACTAAGAAAATTTTTAGCCAAGGTTCACTACTTTATCTGTCTGTTACAGATATCATTTCTGACTTTTTTTATCAAAAATTACTTGCGATCCGATATTTTTCATAGCATAATCTGGGATTTTATCTAATTATACGCTTCATCAAATGATTTGTCTAGGGTTTACATTTCAGATATGACGCCAACTTATATTCTTCATTTATTAACCTTAAAAGAGTATTTACATTACTTCAGAAGCCAACTATTATGGCAAAAAGTTGTAATAAACATACTACGTACGAAATAGTTTTGTTTTGATTCATATCGGCAAAAACTCTCATCATGTACAATGCAAAAATATGCATGTATTGCATAGTATTTGAGAGGATCGATAATTATAGTTGCTATTTCTGGTTATGCATACATCCATAAGCTAAATATGAAATTGTGGTAAATCAAAGTCAAAAATCGGCGTACGCTGGAAGTGGAGTTGGAATCTTTATCTTGATGAAAGAGAGACTATATCAGTACAGCTTTGTATGCATCTTATTGATAAAAATAGTATTTTTTGTGTAAACTAATTTACTATAACAGGATTTCAAGTTTCAATATCTGAATTTTATACTAAACTGAATCCTTCAATAGAAGTAGATATGTTGCATAATCTTACCGTACTGTGAGCAGTAAATTGGCTGCTTAAAATTTACTGTATTAACAAAATATCAATCCAGTCTTAATGACTATGTGACTGATCATTTCAGTGTTAATATTGCATTGTATTTTCTTCTTTCACATTATATTACTGCCACAGCTGCTACCATATCTTTACCTCCATAATTTTTATTATTAGTATTAGCGCTAATCATTTATTATATTATATAATTATTTCTAACGTTCTTTCAGAAGACGCTATCTCGCGTGATTGTTTAAAATCTTATATCTCTGTATCACATCATACACAATTGTACATGTCTTCCCTTGATAGGGTCTGCAAGAACTATAATATAATGATTGAATCTAGCCGCGTTTCTCTCAAGGTGATACTGGTTTCTTCGCAACGGCTAGAGGACTTTCAAGTTCATAAAAGACAATTTTTGAAAGGTATTGTTATTATTTTGGGCGAAAGCGCAAAACCATCAAATGATTATGTAGTAAAATTATCATTTTAGTGCTAAATATTATTCTATCGTTGTCAAAATTTGTTTCATGCTAGGCACAGGATGATAGGCGCATTTATAATTTACTCTTATTTAATTAATGTATATCGTGTGCGCTATTTTGTAATCTGAATTTTAATTAATAAAGCATTTCTATGCAAATTCGATGGATAAAATTCTTTTATTTACAATAAGTATAAATTGCAGATAATGTGCAACAATAGTTTCACGGTTAAAGATAGCATAATATCATGTCATTATTAGATAAAGATTTACAATTTTTAGCTATTGCTTCAATGCGAACAAATCAAGCTATAATTATTTCGCATAGAAAAATTACAATGTAACAAGTGAACGTGTTACTTGTATATCTGCTATCAAAAGTTTATCAGTGTGGTAGAATGTGATATATAGTATTTATTGTTGATCTATCAAAGTAATTTCACAATAAGCAAGAATTTGTTGATAATACTCTTCTCCAGGCAAACCTTTATAAACGCATACAGTACCCGCTATTGATCACATTAACCATTGGTGCTATTTGTAAAGATTAATGCAAGTAGACGATATCCTATAACGAATGATGTTATTTTGCTATGGCTTAGCATAGGCAGTCATTAAATAAGCAATTAATTATAACCTATAAAATGATATCAAATCGACTTCATTAAAATCAATCCAGCATCGATGCCAGATATTGACTATATTTAGATACGATATTCATCCGATGAGTGCAATAAACGTACAATTTTGTATCAACTTTTTAATGATTACTAGATGGACTTACATCTCTATTAAATCGGAATTAGGCTAATAATCAAGTATAAAATATCATTATTAATATTAAGAAGTATGAATGTTAATCATAGACTTGTAACAACCTAAGCAATGTTAATAAATTAACTAATAAATACGAGTATAAATTTGAATCGCAAAACAGCAGCTGGTAGATTTACAAACAGACATTACCGTCTGTAATTTTTACATTATCACCTTAAATTAAGTAGAGTTATTTTTTAATATTAACTATCAGTTACTAGAAATAATGTGGTGGCAACAGTCCTTAAATATAACGACAATATTGCTATAAAAATGCGCTCTTTGTCGTATTCAATTAAACAGTTTCGTAATAATTTGAAATATTATATATCGGCAATTGCCATAGTTTCTCTTTGCTTTGTAAGCAATAGATTGGTCGATGCAGTTGCCGATGTATTCACTCTGTTAGAGTATTTTAATTTCAATGTGGTCATTAACACGATGATTCCGATAATTACTTCACCAGCTCGCAGAAATGTTTGCAGGATTAGCCAAGACCATGCTTCAACATATTTCTGATTAGAATAAACATTAAATACACCAAATAAAGCGTAGATATTAGTAACTGCAATTAAAGTTCCATTGCAGCCGGAGATTAACATGCTGCCTTTTATCTTACGTAATCGTCGATGAGAATCATCAAAACCCGATCCTTTTGTAGTAAAACTTCTACTTGCACCGATGTTGCGATTAATTTTATAAAGAACGCAGAAATATCCAATACTTACTACTGAGCCCCATATTATAAAAAGGGATTGGCAAAAGATTAACAGAAATTTAGCCGTTGAATAATACAAAACTACTACATCGACTGTCATAACTACAACGAAATGGCCTACGACTGCTTTAAGAATTGTAGGGAAATCTTTAAATCTTGGTGGCCCAATACTTTGTTTTGTTGTGTCCATAAAGACAAGTAAAAGTAATGTAAAAGATCCAGTGATACAAGGATAACCACTAGACCAAATTAGTCGTAAAGCTAATAAGGATAGTATCCTCTTAGATCCATACGGATCGACTAGCAATATTATAACTCGTGTAATTCCCATAACGATTAATAATGTATTCAGAGTTCCTGTTAGGTAGAATTGACTAGTCCTCCTACCTAACACCAAACAAATAATAGACCAGAAGGCTAAAATAGCAATGACTATATACGCTGTCGAGAAAAAATAAATATGAAAGGGCCAGCAAGCAAGCCATTTCGATTCAGCACTTGACCATTCAGGTTCTGGCTCAGGCCATGACTGACCTGATGGCTCACTGGTAACATTAGCGTTGGTTTCTGACTCAGTAGAGGTACCAGGTAATTCTGCTTCGCCTTCTCCATGGCTTTCAGGTGCACCCGCTGTTGATTCAGGCTGAGATGATTCTGGATTAGTTTCCGAGTTTGCATTACCTTCTGATTCACTACTTGGTGCGGAAGTACCTCGGTTTTCGCTTTCTGGTTTACTGGTAGTTTTCCCTTGATTCTCTGGTATAGCAGAAGGTTCTGGTGTGGATTCTGCTTGACCAATGGGCTCTGCTTGATTCTCTGGCTCAACACTAGGAGGAGATTCTGCCGAATTTTCACTTTCTGGCTTGTTAGTTTCAGCTTGGCTTTCCGGTTCAATAGTAGAAGGCTCGACCTGATTTTCGCTTTCTGGCCTGTAATTTTCAGCTTGATTTTCTGGCTCAATAGTAGAAGACTCTGCTTGACTTTCACCTTCTGGCTTATTAGTTTCAGCTTGGCTTTCTGGCTCAACAGCAGAAGACTCTGCTTGACTTTCACCTTCTGGCTCAACAGTAGAAGACTCTGCTTGACTTTCACTTTCAGGCTTATTAATTTCAGCTTGACCTTCTGGCTTGGTGGTAGAAGGTTCTGCTTGACTTTCACTTTCAGGGTTATTAGTTTCAGCTTGGCTTTCTGGCTTAACAGTAGAAGACTGTGCTTGGCTTTCTGGCTCAACAGTAGAAAACTCTGCTTGACTTTCTGGCTCAACAGTAGAAGGCTCTGCTTGACCTTGACTCTCAGGCTTATTAGTTTCAGCTTGGCTTTCTGGCACAACAGTAGAAGATTCTGCCTGACTTTCACTTTCTGGCTTCGAAGTAGAAGCTTCTGCTTTACTTTCACTTTCGGGATTATTAGTTTCAGCTTGGCTTTCTGGAGCAGCTGTAGAAGGTTCTGAAGGCGATTCTGAATAGCTATTGGGTTCTATTTGATTTTCACTTTCTGGCTCACTAGTTGATGGAGAAGCACCTTCGGCCTGACTTTCTCCTTCGCCCTCTGGCACAGCAGAAGGCTCCGCTTGATTTTCACTTTCTGGCTCATTGCTTGATGTAGCAGTATTTTCAGCTTGGCTTTCCCCTTGACTTTCTGGTTCTCCAATTGAAGATTCTGTTTGAGCTTCTGACTCTGCAGTCGTGGCTGTCTCAGCTGCTTCTGCTTGACCTTTAGGATTTGATGTTGGTTCTACCGAGTTAGTTACTTGATTTTCGGCTGGAGCTGACTCTAACGCTAGTTCCGCGATAATAAGAGCGGAAATAATATAGCATTCAAAATAGAATCAATTAGTATTTATGTGCAATAGTTATATCAAATTAGTCATTACTTGATAGAGATGAAGACAAGAATATTGTCTTTTATTAGCCAACGTGAAATCAATGCCTCAAAACAAGTACGCATGTAATATATTAAAATTCGATTCTTATATTGTAGGTTAATTTCTACCTTCTGATGTAGCTTCTGGTTGTTGTATAAAACTTGTTGATATTTTAGTTGGTTCTACGCTACTTGGTTCGCGTTCTGGTGTTGCAATGCTAATGGTAAGACTTTGTCCATAAGATGCGCTAGGCAATGTTTCTGTTATTTCAGCTGATAAACTGGGTAGGCTAGTTGGTAAAGCATCAGCACTGCAGGTATTCATGAAGCAATTGCAAGTTATTACAGCTATCAAGACCAAGATTGATCTGTATTTTGTGATCATGATCTATCAAGTTAGTCAAAAAGAGTTCAATAAAATCCACTTCAGAAAATGGTAAAGAAAATATCAACACATTATCAAACTTTAATC